CCCGAGTGTGTCATGGGTCCCTTCGGCCCCCCTTGCGTGCCGGGCCGTAATCTGCCATGGGCCCCTGTCCCGCCCCCCTTTCTTGTGCGCCAGGTCCAGAGTGTTCATGGGTCCCTGAGGGCCCCCCTTTGCTGCGTCCCCTCCCACACTCTCCATGTGCCACTTTAGGTCCCTCACATGTGGTGGGTTCCTTTTTGTCATAGGGTGCTGGCAATTAGGGCCCTCCATTGCTGCGCCAGGCCCGTAATCTCCCATGGGCCCCCTCCGACTCCTCATGCTCTGCAGGCCCGTAATCTGTCATGGGCCCCTGTACCCCTCTCATGCTGTTTCCCAGGTCCAGGGTGTCATGGGTCCCTTAGGGCCCTCCCATTTGCTGCTCCATGCCACACTCTGCCATGTGCCCATTTGGTCCCCTCACACTGTGGGGGGTTTCCATTTTGTCTAGGGTGCTGAGGGCCCTTCCTTTGTGCTGCCGGGGCCCGTAATCGCCATGGCCCCTTTCCCGACTCCTCAGCGCTCCCGGGCCCGTACTGTCAGGGCCCCCTGTACGCCCCCTCATGCTGCGCCAGGTCCTTTCAGGTCTCCCTCATACTGATGGTGGTTCCATTTTGTCATAGGGTGCTGGCAGATTACGGGCCTCCCATTGCTGCTGCCAGCCCGTAATCTGCCCAGGGCCCCCGTACCGACTCCTCATGCTGCGGCCAGGATCCGTAATCTGTCATGGGCCCCCTGTACCGCCTCCTCATGCTTGCTGCCAGGTCCAGAGTGGTGTCATGGGACCCGGGACGGCCTCCCCATTGCTGCTGTCTCCATCGCCACACTCATGCCATGTGGCCCACTTTCAGGTCTCCTCACACTGCTGGTGGGTTCCATTTTAATCATAGGTGCTGTTAATGGCCTCCCATTGCTGCTGCCGCAGGCCCCGTAATCTGCCAGGGCCCGAACCCCTACCGACTCCTCATGCTGCTTGCCAGCCGTAATCTGTCATGGGCCCCTTAACCCGCCTCCTCATGCGGCTGCCAGTCCAGAGAGTGTTCATGGGTCCCTGGTACGGCCACTCCCATTGCTGCTGTTCTCCATCGCAACAAATGCTCTAGCCATGTGCCACTTTTCAGGTCCTCCCTCACACTGGCCGGTGGGATTTCCATTTTGTCATCGGGTGCTGTATGTGCCTCACCATTGCTGCTGCAGGCCGTACTCTACCATGGGCCCCCCGAACCTACTCCTCATGCTGCTGCCCGGCACGTCAATCTGTCCATGGGCCCCTGTACCGCCTCTTCATGCTGCTCGCCCAGGGCCAAAGTGTGTTTTGGGTCGTGGTTTACGTCCTCGCCATTGCTGCTGCCAGGACCGTAATTTGCCATGGGCCCCCCGTACCGACTCCTCATGCTGTTGCGCCGAGACCGTAAACTGTGCATGGGCCCCTGAATCCGCCTCTTCATGCTGCTGCCAGGTCCAGAGTGAGTGTCTTAGGGTCCCTGTAACGGCCTCGCCATTGTTCTGCTGGCCAGGCCCGTATCTGCCATGGGCCCCTGTACCCGCCTCCTCTTGCTGCTCGGCCAGGTCCAGAGTGTGTCATGGGTCCAGTACGGCCTCTCCCATTGCTGCTGTTCTCCATCGCCAAATACATTCGGCCATGTGCCACATTTCAGGTCTCCTCACATTGCTGTGGGTTCCATTTTGTCATAGGGTGCTGGCAGATTACGGGCCTCCATTGACTGCTGCAGGCCCCGTAATCTGCCATGGGCCCCCGTACCGATCTCATGCTGCTGCAGGCCCGTAATCCTGTCATGGGCCCCTGTACCGCCTCCTCATGCTGCTGCCAGGTCCAGAGTGTGTCATGGGTCCTGTACGGCCTCCCCATTGCTGCTGTCTCCATCGCCACACTCTGCCATGTGCCACTTTCAGGTCTCCTCACACTGCTGGTGGGTTCCATTTTGGTCCCATAGGGTGTGTATGGCCTCCCATTGCTGCTGCCTTCACCGCCACACTGTGGCTCCACACTTCTGGTTTTGGCCCCGTGACTGCCCAAATGAGTGAAGTGTGCGGTGATTCTATGATCGACGGCACTCATTCCTTTGCTGTCATACTGAATGACAGTATTATTTCTCTTCCCCAGCAGACTTCCAAGGGCATTTAAATTAAAGGTACAGTGTTCGCACTAATATAAAGGCTCTCTGAAGCCCTAGAAACACCCTTTTTATAAGGTTAAATTTGCAGCGAATATATTCGACTCGAATCGAATTATTACCGCGAATTCGCCGAATCAGCGAATCGGATTTTTGAATAATTCGCTCATCTCTAATGCCCACCATTAGAATATTACCGCCCTGCATCCACCCTACATCTAATGGTGGACACACATTAGGTCACACGGTGCCAATGCGCCAGTTCCATGATTGTACAAATGTCCTAAATAGTGGCACGCTTGAATAAAAATTTGTCCACCGTATAAGTGGTACCACATATGGAAAAAGGGATGACACCAAGTCCCTCAGTATCTTGCCATGACTTCCCATGTAGTCTGAGCATCTGAACTTATACGTATAGCCTGTTGTCCCTCTCATAGGTCGTCTACATCTTGACCCCATATCTTTTTGCTATAAAACTTGTCACGTAGGGATAAGGGTCTGGTATGGATTTTTTTTTAATTTTAGGAAGTTCCCCTCTAAATCCCATTGCAGAACCCGCCAAAATCCCATAACAGACCTGTAAATGGAACTGACCCGAGTTTGCACATCGGCTTTGATGTAACCGGGATGGAAGGTCTTTTTATGTTTGATTTCCTGAGTTTTTTTTCCAATTTATGGGGGAATCCCGCATACTAGCAAAATGAATTGACATTTTCAGTATTGCATGCGAAATATGGTCATGTGACTGCCTTAAACCCATGATAAGCTTGAGTGAATTGTGCCCATAGTGCCAATAAATATTGCCTTGGGGGTTTCCCCTTCACATCCCTGTTCAATGTTCTGTTGTATGCTGAACAGGTACAGTTCACTGTTGCTTTCTTTCTGACTGATTTGTTGGGCCTGTATACCAAGGGTTAACGCAGGTGGGAAGAGGAGTAGTGCCCACTAATCAGGTGCAATCACTTTCTCTGATCAAATGAATGACAGTGGTGAGTGTGGCCTTCATTTAGGGTGGGGCCTTGTTTGGCATGCTCCAAATCCAACCTTTGTTATATAAACAAGAATGGTGTGAACCTCCTGCGCTAATATATAACACAAAAATTAAAAAATGTCCTTCCGCAAAATGTGATGATGTATTTCTGGTATGCGTTTATTTTGTACACCATAGCAAGTTTTTTCTATGTGGCACCATTGAATATATAACTTTCTCGAAAACATGTTTGCAGCTCCACTGTTAATTTGACATTAGCGAATATATGTTTGCCGATAAAGGCCCAAAGTCAACATAAATTGGGGGCCTCATTTATTACTGTTAAGAGGATTGTAGAAAAAGAATAGCTAGCTGCACATTGAACACAGCCTATTTATTGGTACATAACATTGTCTTGTGGTGCAATAGGGTGCTTTTGGTTTGTTAGTTCGGACATACTTGCATATGTGCACTCTAACAAGCTAGATTTGGGCATATTATATAGGTAGCAAAAAAAATAAGTGTTAGGGGTGCTAGCCTATTGAACTTGAACATGAAATAACCCCCCCCCCCCCCCAAAAAAAAAAATACATAGTCCAAACGTTTATTGATCAAATACATATTCCACATTTATTTGGACAGCAGCAACAAGTAGGTACAGTCAATTTCTTAGTGGGGAAAAAAGAAAGATTGATGTTGCTAAAATAGAACAGTGCTGCTCATAAGAGCTTACAATCTAAAAGATTATACCTTCTAATGAACACTGCTTTCACAGGTTACAGCAGGGCCATAAAATTAACACCTCCCACCTGCCCAAATCCCCCATACATACATTTCTGATCAGGTTTGTCCTAAAACTGCATTTCAGTCTAAATAAGCAAGCAAACTATAGCCAAGTGCAGATTTGGACGAGCAGAGCAATTGACATGTTAGGATTACAACGCAAAGATAATACACAAATTCCTCCTCCAGGACTTGCTGAAAATAACCCAGTCTATTACCAGTACAAACTACCCACTACAGCAGGCCTTTATATAACAAAATCTAAAGGAATGTGGCGCTACCAATATATCCCAAAAACACTAAAGTGAAAAAAGTGCCGTTTTATAACAACCTTCATAAAAAAATATATAATATATGCAATAAACCACGTGAATCAACAATAAATATAATAGTCATCAAGTGGTCTAGGTGATCAAAATAAAAATAATACATATATACCATAACAAAACATAGTATATAAATTCAGTGTATTAATAATAAAGTGAATAATTCTTAATGATAAAACCCATACATGAATATAATTATAATGATAAAAAAACTGTGGCAATACGTGCAAGTACAGTGCAAATACTACACTAAAAAAACAACCAAATAAATATAATGTGTACAAAATATCCGATAAGTGGGTGACACCACTACTGCAATTCCAAACACACGTGACCATGTAATAAAGTGACTCCAGGTGCAGAAACTCCAAAACACAGCTAGATTTGCCTCTCACATCCAGGTTTTCGACCCCTAAGGGTCAAAGCGTATAGTGGGATCAAACCCTCAGATCCTTTCAGCATATACTGGTGTCCACTGGTCCGCTCTCCCCATACTCAGATCTCCTTCTCTAGGGGTCGATAATCAAGCAGTGGCTCCTCTTATGGGATATGGGTATGTGCCAATAAAGACATAAACACAATCTCCCATAGTGTAGTAGGTTGATTTAATGAAGATCCAACAATGTACATAAAAGAGCAACTCACATAGATCCTCGAAAATGACAGCTTTACAACCCAATGCTTTAGAATGTACATGGGTGTACAGGAATTAAAGGTGCACCAAGATGGCCACCACGCCTGAAGTGCGTCACCACGTCAGGCCGACGCGCTGCGTCACAATGTCATGTGACTTCCTCAGGGCTGGCACTCATAGTGATGAACTTCTCTTAAATGCAAGGTGTGATGCGATATGCTCCACCCAAGGCGGATCATGCACTCGCCCATAGACACACCCTGGTCTCCCACAGCCCTATTACTGGAGACCACAGGGAGCAAATCGCTATCCGGCCCCCTAAACTATCTCGAGGAACTATAATGACCAGTAAAAACTAGATATAAAAACTCTAGGCAAAAACTTCTTACAAAAACTATTAAAATCATATACTTTAAACCCGGATCTCATATAGAGGCCCCAAAAGAATTTTTTATTAATAAATATATGTATATCTATATATATTAACATATTACCAAAAACATATAATTAAAAATAAATTAAAAATAAATTAAAAATAAATTAAAATACATTTTAATAGTTAATAGTAATATTAAAATAAAAAAAAAATATATATATATATATATATATATATATATATATATATATATAAAAAACAATATAAATTAAAATAAATTTTCATAAAAACCTTTAAGTAAACCTACTCTACAAAGGAAGAATACTCTAAAAAATCTACATTTTATCTAAAAAATCTACATCTTGTCCAAAATAAATAAGACCCATTATATAAATTAATGGGTTTCTATATATTTCCATGGAAATTTTGTATTGTTGGTTGAACTTTAAATGTGTCATATATGAGTGTTATTCATATGTCTCTCTTGTGGCTTAATTAAAGCTCTGAAGGCTGCAATTGGGCCATGCGCATGTACAATGTATGTATTACAGTACTCAGCTCGGTAATGGATGAGATGGCAGATCTGCGCTTATAGACCGGCGTGTATACCACCACGGCATTCGATGCGAATGCCGCTGGCAGTAGACCGCAGGCCTGTATCCACATATCAGCAGCATAGTACCACATGGACTTCATAACGCAAGGCGCCAAGCGGTGTGAACTCCGCGTGTAGGCTTATGCATATCTTACAACCCATTACCGACCTGAACTGTATCTGGATGGATGTGTTTTAATAAAGATCGTATCGGGCCCATCCAGGTACAGACTGATGTTTCTAGGGGATGCTTGTACAGAGAATGAACATACTGCTAGGAGCTGGGAAATATGCTCTCCATAGAGGGCACATAGGGGGAAGGGGAGGAAGTCTGCTGACCTCAGAAGGCTCATGGGGGGAAGGGGAGGAAGTCTGCTGACCTCAGAAGGCTCATGGGGGGAAGGGGAGGAAGTCTGCTGACCTCAGAAGGCTCATGGGGGAGGACCAGTGATAGATAATAGGAAAGGCTATGCTCCAATCGGAATGTACATCCTGTGTATAGGCACTCCCCATTGCATTGTTCTGTGGGAGGGGATTGACCTTATTCATGTGGGGGGGCGTGTGTGTATTTGTAATAAAACCGGGGGCTGGAGTCTGAAAAACGCCTCTATGTGAATTCAAACAGCAACCTGAGAGTGTCGTGTGATCATTCTTGGGTAACGGAGCTCCATCACCCACATTTCAACAGAGCTAACCCAGTTTGGATGGGCAGGAATCGTGTAGTTTAGCTGCAGTCGTGGTAAGCGAGATTCGCACAGCTTTATGGGGGATTTCTGCGCATCCAACTGCGAGTACTCACGGTAAGGAGAAATTCGTTAAAGCGAATTTCCAAGACAGTTTGGCGAGCCAGTGGATACTAACGCGAATTCTGGGATAGCTAACCGAGTACGAGAGGGGGAATGAGCCATCATGAACTAGCAAAAAGTATGCCGGCACATTTCAGGTCTCTCTGCCATTAAGAGGATCGCTTTTTGCGTGTTCGTGTGGCTGATTTCGCTCTCTGTTAGCTAACAAGAATTACCGCTTAGCAAGGACCTAGTTTTGTCCTAAAATCTTGATTTGTGGGTGAAAGACAAGGGTTTTCTCTGCTGAGAGCAGCAGAGGGGTGGGTTTGGTTGGCTGGATTTGGTCAAGTTTAAAAATCTTCCAACCAAAAATTAAACGGGTATATGTTTTAGTGGGTAAAAGTTGTTGCATAGTGTTAGGTAAGTATTTGCGGGTTGTAGGTACTGTGGTAATTGCTCTACCCCCCTCCACGTGAGGTAATTATTACAGTGCTGAAAGGTTTAGGTTAATTGTTAACTGTTGTAAGATCTTTGTGTGTATGTAGTCTGTGCAATGTTTTGTCTGTACT